AAAATGTTTTTCTTTTAAAACCTACTGTCAAAAATTAATTAATTAATTAAAATTTTTAAAACTTACTGTCAAGTGGACTGAGATGACCCAGATGTTGGGTCCATCAGACAGGAACTTAGAAATAATTACCAATAATAGGCTAAAGGATACAGTGAGAAAGGTGACAAAAATGAACCCGGGATTTCAATAGAGAGCCGCACTAAAAAACAAGGGTCACATGGAAATGCTAAGATTCATTAACTAATTAGCACTCAGAGCCTCAGATATGCATTCTGTACAGAACGTTAATTAACATTACCTCACTCCATCAAAAAATAGGAAACCATGGATAGAGGCTCCCCCTTTCCTCTTACTAAGAAAGAGACATTACGGGCGTTCAATCACTGGGATAATGCAGAGCCAGCAAATAATAGGGGCTTGTGTTTTCTTTCTCTTTCCTTCCCCGACTTGCCTCACTCACTCACTCACTTTCCTTTACAAGCTTGCTCACAACTCTGCTGCCTCCCTTTGGTTGGCCTCCCCCAAGGAAACAATGGCACGGGAGCCTGGCGCTTGCTCGTGGGAGGAGTTTGGAGAGGACCCCTGCTGATCTGTAGCACTGAAATGGGGGATTTCAAATTTCAATCCTGACTGCTGCAAGACTAGCTTCTCTTTTTTCCCTGTCATTCAACAACCAGAATCACTGCAACCTTCCATGTGGGAAGCTAGAAGAGTAATCAGATAAATAGATTAATCGATCTAAAAAGTATAATAAAACAAAACATGTGTGTATATATGCCTAAAATATTGGAAGCACGTACTGATAGAACTGGAAGAATAAATACATCCACAATTGTAGTGGAAATTTCAATATTCCTCTCAACACATTGCAGTAGTTGAGAAAATCAGTACGGGCACAGAATACTTGGAGAGCACTGTCAAACAATGTGACCATATTTACATTTACAGAGACTCTACTCAATAACTGGAACATTTTCCCCAGGTGTATATGAAGCCTTTACAAAACGCAGCCATCTATGGGGCACAAAACAAATCTCAATAAATTTAAAATTATTCAAGTCAGTTATATTCTCTGGCCACAATGGAGTTAAATTAAAAATCAGTAACAGAAATACCTGTGCAAAATCTCCAGAGTTGTGCAGAATAAAAAGCACGTGACTAAATAATTCATAGGTCAAAGAAGAAGATACAAAGGGAATTTCATAATAATTACGTATTACTCATCTGGTGCTACTAAAACAGAAAAGCCGCAAGTCGATAGATTGAGTCAACAGCAATGTGTTGTCTCACAAGTTAGGAAGCTGGAAATCCCAACTCAGCGTGCTACGTATAGCAAGAAGCTCTCTCCCTCGGTTGGCTCTGGAAGAAGACCCTTGTCTCTTTTGAGCTTCCGCTCCTGGGGAATCTGTATGTGACTTGGCATCTCTCTTCCCCCAGCTCTGTTTCTTAGCTTGTTTGCTTAATCTATTTCCTAGCTCAAAAGAGATTGACTCAGCATATCTTAAACTGAAAGAACTCGAGAAAAATTCTATGAGCAAATTATTGAATTTTGCAGGAGGCATCCACAGAAGTTGGGGAAAGTACACAGAGTCACTGTACTAAAAAGAATTAGTCAACATTCTACCACTTCAAGAGGTAACATATGAGCAAGAACCAATGGTAGTGAAAGAAAAAGTCCAAGTTATACTGAAATCATTAGCCAAAACCAAGGCTCCAGGAATTGATGAAATACCAATGGAAATGTTTCAACATGCTGATGAAGCACTGGAAGCGCTGACTGGTCTATGCCAAGATAGTTGGATGTTAGCTACCTGGCCAACTGACTAGAAGAGATCCATATTTGTGCCCATTCCAAAGAAAGATGACCCAATATAATGCTCAAATTATGAAATAATATCATTGATATCATATGCAAGTAAAGTTTGGCTGAGGATCATCCAACAATGGTCTCAGCAGTACCTTGCCAGGGAAGTGGGAAAAGTGCAGGCAGGATTCAAAAGAGGATGTGAAACAAGATAACATTGCTAATGGCAGAGGGATCTTGGCTGAAAGCACAGATTGAATATGCAAAGGCATGGATCATAACAAACTATGGAGAGTCTGGAGAAAAACAGGAAGTCTAGAACATGTCCTGTGCTCAGGCAGAACTTGTACACGGCTCCAGAGGCAGTTGTGGAACAGAACAAGGGAATACTGGATGGTCTCAAATCGGGAAAGGTGTCATCAGGATCCTCCCCCCCTACTTATCCAGTCTGTATGCTGAGCAAGTAAGCAGAGAAGCTGAACTATGTGAAGAAGAAGGAAGTAGCAGGATGGGAGGAAGGCCTAGGAACGAAATGAGATGTGAAGATGACACAACTGTGCTTGCCGAAAGTCAGGAGGGCTTGAATCACTTGCTGATGAAGATCAAGGTTTGCAGACTTCAGTGTGGATTATAATTCGATGTAAAGGAAAACTACAAAGCCCTCAAAACTGGACCAATAGGGAACATCATGCTCATCAGAGAAAAGATTGAAATTGTCCAGGATTTTCCCCTTGCTTGGATCCACAATCAGTGCTCATGGAAGCAGCATCCGAGAACTCAATGGGCACATCGCAGGGGGTCAATCTGCTGCACCAGACCTCTTTAAAGTGTTGAAAAGGAAGGCTGTCACTTTGAGGACTAAGGTACACCTGACCCAAATTGTGGTATTTTCATTCGCCTCACATGCAGGTGAACATTGGACGTTGATCGAGGAACACTGAGGAGAAATTGATGCAGGTGAACTTTGGCGTTGGAGATGAATATTGAAAGCACCATGAACTGCCAAAACACAAACTGATCTGTCTCGCAAGAAACACAGGCAGAATTCCCGTCAAGGCAAGGCTAGCGAGACGTCCTCTCTCACATCTGGACATGGTAACAGGAGAGACCAGTCCCGGAGAAGGACCTCATGCTTGGGAACGTAGACAAGGAAAAAGATGCGGCCCTGGACTAGATGAATGGACACAGTGCCTGCACCAATCAGCTCAAGCAATAGGACAATTGTAAGGATGGTGCCGGACCAGGTCGTGTTTTGTTCTGTTGTACGTAGGGTCACTATGAGTCAGAACCAACTGGTTGGCACCTAACCTCCAAAATTCTACCTCATTAATGTAACAAAGCAACTCATTCCCAGGAAAGATGATTAACACAGGCTTAACCCACTGCCTTAGAGTTTATTCCAACTCATAGCAGCCCTATAGAAGGTTTCTGAGGTCTAAATCCTTAAAGAAGGAGCCGGCCTCTTCTTTCTCCCTTCGAGTGGCTGTCAGTGTGAACTGTGGACCTTAACATGAGCAGTCCCAGGCTCACCCAACAGGGCCACCACGGTGCTCGAAACCATGGGCATTGAGGTTGTGAATTACCACACAGGCTTTAGGGTGACAATTCAGTCCAGAAACACTTTTGAAATCAAATATAAAGATCATTCTAGTGTGTGTAATGTACCTATCAAATGATCAGAAGAAAATTAGTAACATTAAACATGTCTTTTAGAAAAGTATAAAAGTTCAAAATCAATGACTCAAACTCTCTCTTTAAGAGCTTTTAAAAGTGCAAATTAAACCCAAATAAGCAGAAGAATGAAAATTAAGCGAGCATAAATCAATAAAGTGTGGTGCTATTGCTATTGTTAGGGCTCTCCAGTTGGTTCCAACTCCTGGTCACCTGATCCAGGATGAAACACTGTCCGGTTCTGTGGCGTGCTTACATCCCCAGCTCTGCCGACCCTGTGATGACAATCCATCTGGTTTGTGACCCTCCACCTTACCACGCATAATATCCTTCTCCAGAGACAGGGCCCTCCCGATCCCAGGTCCAAAGTCCAGATAACAAAGCCTCCTCATCCTCCCTCTGGTTGTGCTTCTTCCAAGACAGATGCGGTCATTCTTATAACAGGCCATGGTCATTTCAGTATTTCTTTGCCAACCCCATAATTCAAATGCATCATTTCTTCTTACGTCTCCCTTATTCATTGTCCAGCTTTGCATATGAGGAAATTAAACATACCATGACTTGTATCAGGTGCACTTAGTTGTCAAATTGACATCTTTGTTTGTAAAACTTTAAAGTGGTCTTTTGCAACAGATTTGCAGTAAAATATAAAACGGAAAAATGTCCTAAAGCTAGATAATTTTATAGATCAATAAAACTATTAGAAGTCTATTCAGACTGATCATGAAAAAAGATAGGGAAAAAGTTAATAATATCAGAAATGAAAGAAGGTTACATGATATAGATACTAGACATTAAAAGGAAAAAGCACTAATGCAGCACTGGGGCAATTAGTTCAACCACTTGAACTAGATGAAATAGAAAAATTATTTACAGACAATCTACCAAAGCTCACTCAAGAAGATGGGCATCTGGAAAGTAAATAAGAGAAAAAGATGGAGTTCAAAGGGACCCCAGGTAAGAAGTGATCTGCCCTCCTCAGTGTGGTGATAGTTTCAGAGGTGTATACTGTGGCCTAATTAAGCAAGTTATACACTTTAACTCCAAAAACTCCAAACTCACTACCATTCAGTCATCTCTGACTCATAGCAACCCGATAGGATAGGATAGAACTGCCCCGTCTAGGTTTCCAAGGCTGTAACTCTTTATGGGAGTAGAAAGCCGCATCTTTCTCTCGACACTTTATCTAGGTACAGTATATTATACATTATTTCTGTTTCAATAGTGTCATTTTCCAAGTTTATTTCAAAACTTATACTTAGGAAGATTACACATTGCTTGAATCCACAATCAATGTTCATGGAAGCAGCAGTCAAGAAATCAAACGAAGTAGTGGATTGGGTAAATCTGCTATACAAGAGCTCTTTAAAATATTGAAAAGCAAAGATGTGACTTAGAGGACTAAGTTGTGACTGAACCAAGCTAGTATAGTATTTCAGTCACCTTGTATGCACCTGAAAATTGAACATTGAATAAGTGAGACCAAAGAAGAATGAATGCATTTGAATTATGGGGCCGGAGAAGAATACTGACAGTACCACAGACTACCAAAAGAACAAACAAATCTGTCTTGATAAAAGCATAACCACAGCTTGTCCATTGCACTCCGGATGTGCTGACCCCTGCAACTTCCCCAAATGTGGGGAACTCACTGCATAATTTGTGGTAGTAGGGGCCTGCATTCACGCTCTCCGTTAAAAAAAAAAAGTATAGCCACATTTCTCCTTAGAGGCAAAGATGGCAAAACATCTTCTTGCTGACTTTGAACATGCTGTCTGGAGAGACCAGTCCCTGGAGAAGGACATCATGCTTTGTAAAGCAGAGGGGCAGGGAAAGGCCCTTGACCAGATGGATTGATGCAGTGGCTGCAGTAATGGGCTCAAGCTTTGGAATGATTGTGTGGGTGTCACAAAAATGCAGGGAGTGTTTCATTCTAGGTTCATCTATCTTGGACCAATCTTGGGTTCATCTGCCCCCAAGGTTACCAGCGCCAGGAGAAGCCACCATTCTGTTATATACAAGGTTGCTGCTCTCAGTCAGAACCGACCTGACGGCACCTAACAACCACAACATGTTGTCCCATGTATCAGAAACAATCAGAGGACTGAATTGCCTCTCAATAAATGTTCTTTGACTGAGATTAATTCCTAGAGTAGCTTCTTTAATAATTTAAAAAGTAAAATTTAAAAGCTTGTCCCTACACGCAGCACATACTACAAAGACTAAGCCTACTCAGAATTGTGGAGTAGAACAAACTCAGAGCTGCCTCCCTAAACCCCACACCCTGTTATTCAAGGACTTATGAAATGTCATCTCTTTGGATGTGAGTTTAATTTATGACTTCTCAGTAACAGAATATAGCAAAGGTGACAGGAAATACGTGAGGGGCTGGAGATGATTATGTTATATAACAGTGGTTCTCAACCTGTGGGGCGCGACCCCTTTGGGGGGTCAAATGACCCATTCACAGGGTTCACCCAATTCATAACAGTAGCAAAATTACAGTTATGAAGAAGCAACAAAAATAATTTTATGGTTGGGGGTCACCACAACATGAGGAACTGTCTCAAAGGGTCGCGGCATTAGGAAGGCTGAGAACCACTGTTATATAAAATTCTGGCACACAGATTGCTGGCATCTCTTTCTCACGCCTTTGCTAGCTTTGAACTAGCCTCCTGAGAAGAGCATAGCCCTGCGGGTAATTTGATTAGAGCCTTAAGCTGTGAACAGATCCCTGACCTACAGAAACTCTGAAATAATCAATATATGTTGCATTAAGACACTAAGCTTGTTACACAGCAATAGATAATATAGGGCAGACAAGGAAGAGGGAAGGGTCTGCGATAGGGGGCTGCTCATGGACATTTTTCATTAAAAGATAATGGAGTTTTTCCATGAACCTTTTAAAGTTCTTTTGTGGAATAATATAGATGTCTAAGTGAGAAAGGCAGGGAAAAGCAGACTACAGAGAGGGAAATGCATTCGGCATTCTGACAGTATTTTTAACGGCAAATACGTTGATTCAAGCTATTTTAAATTATAAATAATCTGAGTTAGAGGTGGCACTGGTGGGTAAGCATTGGACTACTAGCTAACCACAAGTTTAGTGGTTCAAATCCACTAGTAGCTCCATGGGAGAAAGATGAGACTATTTGCTCCCATAAAAATTTATAGCTTATGCCAAACAGGATTGTGCAGCTGGTTCCATAATCAGTCTCCAAATATACTTTTCTTTCCTGGACTTCTTGACATCATCTCCCTCTTATCTCGCCCACCCCTCTATATCCCCCTTTCCCCCAAACCCTTGCTATACTTTCTGTATAGGCTCATAGATAGATAAATAGTATTTTTGCCTTTATACTAATATGATCTTATCCTTACCACCTTAGTGCAATTTGTCTTTCATTGTTTTCTGTTGGTTTTCCCAGCTGTGAAGCAGAGTAGATACATAATGATAATAACTGATACACGGGTGTATAGGGAATGCTGGGGTTGGGTGGCGGGTGACAGGGAGGGAAAGGGGATTTGGTTGATGTGGTAATAATTATACAATTCTCCTTGATATGATTGAATGATTGAACTATTGAATTATATGACATGTAAAGTATGTGCCAATAAACCTGTTGGAAAAGATAATAAACCTGTAAAATTTTAAAATAAAAATGCACAGCTTTAGAAACTCCATATAGGTGTCATGCTTATGTTCTGGGTCAACTTGGCTAGGGCAGGATGCTTTGTGTTTTGATAGTTACAAAACAGAAAACACCATCCACCCAACCACATTCACTGCCAGAGTCAATTCTGACTCATAGTGACCCTATAGGACAGGGTAGATCTACCCCTGTGGGTTTTCCAAGACTATAACTCTTTACAGGGTAGAGAGTCTCACCTTTCTCCCATGGGACTGCTAGTAGTTTTGAACTGCTGGCCTTAGTTAGCAGACCAACATGTAACCACCACACCACCAGGGCTTGGCAGTTACGACCTAGTACATAATTACTCATGATGCGATCTCCTCAGGGGGTTAGTCTGCATCCAATATAAATAGACTTGGTGAAAATCTTTGCTTCATTTACACTGGGAATTGTTATATTAAAGTTGTCAAAGATTTTCCTTTACTGAGATCTACAATGTACAACGATGAAAGCAACAACCAGGAAACCAAGGACCATATGGAAATGGGAAATCTGCTACAGGGACCTCTTTAAAGCTTTAAAAAGCAAATATGTCACTTTGGTTAAACTGTACCTGAACCAGTTCTAGTGGTGCTGTGGGCTAGGTGTGGGGTTGCTCACTGTGAGATCAATGGTTCAAACCTCGCAGCTACGCCAAGGGAGAATGATCAGCCTGTACCACATCATACCCAATAACACATCATCACATAACACTAGCAGAACGTTCACAGAGAAAATGCAAAGCTGGCTCAGCTGGATGCTGAAATGCAAAATACTGTATACAGGGAATAAGCTTGATGATATCATCACATTGCTTGGGATGAGCCCTGCCTTTTTTTTTTATGTTGGGATTTAATACATACAACGTATCATTCCAGATTTCAATCATGTCAAGTAGAATTATACAATTGCTACCCCAATCAATTTCCAACCATTCTTTTTCTACACGGACTCCTTGCCATCGTCTCCCTTGCACACCACCACCCACCATTGTATCCTCCTCCCATGAACCCCTGATTCTACTTGCTGTCCTTATTGGCTCATCAATCCTGGGTTTCATAGACCAAAAATGGAAAAGCGTACAACCTGGCTTCAAGAGGGTTAACAAAACACTTCTGAGATACGTTCTAATCTGAACAAATAAAACAATATAAGCCAAAATACAGAACATTTTAAAAACTAGATCAGGTCCAGCCTGCATCACAGGGGGTATCCACTGACAATGTTTTAACTTTTCCGGGTCAGATTTGTGCCTTTGATCTTCTACAAGCCCCTCTCCCAAGCACTCTGTTTAGTGATCACGTTCCTCCCGTCCCTCCATTTTTAGACAGTGGAGCTCTCTGCAGGCTGGTTTGCTATGTAGTCCCACCAATGACTATTGAGTTCACACTGTCATCCATCGCCATCTGGAAACCAGATTCTCACCATTTAGGCGCTGATCCTGATCCCTCCTTTTACTTCAGGTTACATGGATTCCGATCCTTCTGTGTTCACTCTTCTCTTGAGTGCACACACCCCACCCCACCCCCGAGCCGTGGTCTTATGTGGTGCACGGTGTCCTCCTCACTGGGACTCTGAGTATATGTGAAAGTGAACTGCTATCGAGCCTGCTGTCAATGTTGGGTGCTGTGTGTTTGGCCATCCCCAAAACCCTAGGATAGCAATCCCTGTCCTCACCAAGGGAGTGAAGAAAGGTGACCGGGAGGAGGTTAAATGGCTGGCCATATGGATGAGATTCAGAATTCTTTAGGTTTCTTATTATTTCCTCCTTCCCTCTGCCTCCTCCAGCCTTCTCGTATCCTTCCCTGGCACCCGCAGCAGAGCGAAAAGGCAATCATCGAAAGTGAATATAATGCCTTAAGGAAGGAGCATATGATTAGTAAATCTGATAACTGCCCTCCAGGGACAGTTATGAAACAGTGAACCTTCACATAGACTTTGCTGCTCTCTTACGTGTGAAGAGCAGGAACGAGGCAGTGGAAACAGAGGCACACATGCAGCATGGCCGAGATCTTAAAGACAGCCAGCCCCAGCACCTTTCTGCCATCCTGGGGTCACTCACCTTTTCCTGAAGCCTAAGATTAGCCCACACTCTGTTGCACACCATACACTCAAAGGCATCGATGTAATTGTCCTGGTTGATGTCTTGTACTCCCCACGGCCGTTCTCTCAGAGCTGTGAGAAGTCGCTGGTTCGAGATCTCGCCGTGCAGCTTCCAGTCTATGTGCGCCTTATACAGAGTGTCATCGTAATCCAGTCGTCTGAGGTAACTCGCCAGATCTCTGGGGTGAGCAAACTCTGACACGAGAATAGCACTTCGGCTACTTGGAAGCCAGTCTGTGACGGTGGGGGAGCCATAATACACCGGGACTACCCCCAGCTTCAGGGGTCGCCAGAGTTTCTCCGTGATGTAGTCATCGCAAACTGCATTCTCAAAGGCAAGGATAAATTTGTACTGGGCGATGATCCTGTAAAAGCTGTCCGTATCCATGGAGGCTGGATTTTTCAGAGGCTGGGGAAGATCTTTATTTCGTAAACACTCACCGTAGGAATCGACCTCAATGTAGGTCATCAGCTCCCGGACGTAACTGTCCCTGTCTGACGGCGGGTCACAGTCCGACTGCACATACACCAGGGGAGCGAGTCTTCGTCGAAGACTGTTTTTGGACTGCAAAGGAAGCAGGTACCGGAGTGACTTCAGGGCCTCCACGCCCTCCAGGTACTGGGTGGTCAGTGGTAAATGAGAGTGCCTGCTGAACGTGGCCGTGTAGTTGAACAAGGTGATGACCGGCTGGTGAAAGAGCTTGTAGTTGTTTTTTGGAGACTCCTCATGAAAAAGGCCCCAGTCATGATGGGCTCTCCGAGGCAGGGGTAAGCTGTCTATGTTAAAGTCAGTACCTAGGAGAGGAAAACAAAGGATCAGTATGTCTAAAGAATTTTGCTGCGTTTACATTCATGTGGGAAGAGTAGAATATGGAAACGCCTTGGCCTATCGATAAGAAAGCACACCACGGTGCCGCTGCGGAGACCTAGCTGTCAATCGTGAGTTTCACTGCAGAACTTCCTGCAAATTTTATGAAAAAGGAAATGAGAGTCGTGCATGGCTAGTCTCTAAAAGGAGAATTCACTCCACTGTCTCTCACAATGAGCTTTTCTTTCCGGAGGGGCTAAGAGAGGACTGGAGAAATCGTGATCAAGATAGACAGTTCTTCAGGCAGAAGAGAGCAAGAGAAAGGAAGGGTAAAACAGGGAAAAGCAACCAGGCTGCCAAGTTGATTCATTGCAAAACAGTGAAATAATGCAGAAGTAACCAGAAGAAACATACAGGATGGATTTTTTTAAATCCAAAATGATCGATTTCAACAAGAACAGTTAATCAATCATAGTCAAAATGGCAGACAAGAAGCTTTTAAAGGCAAAAGAGCTGATAATAGCACTATGTTGCAGACCGCTACAGGATGGACATGAATTCACCAGCACACAAAGAAATAGAGACGGTATAACAGGATTATAATTATGAGGGATTTAAGCTGGCAGGGAATTAATTGGGAGACCTCTGAAACATGGTCACGTGCAGGCAGAAATGATGGATGTGGTGAGCAATTGTTTCCTGTCCATGTGGGTAAAGATCCAATCAGGAAGACCTTATTTCTATTTCTGAGAGAGAGAATTACAACAATATCATATTACATAATGCAGAATTTCTCAAGTGTTCTTGACATTGATGATTTTACGGCCCTTAATTTGAATTTTGTTAAATAAAGGTAAATATATAGAAAGGGAAGAAGGCGGGCGGCTATTTTCCAGCATCCACTGAAAAAAAAATCCAAATAAATGAACAAACAACAAACAAACAAAACTTCCAACTAATGAAACCATATTCTCTAGGAGGGCTCATAAAAATAAATTCTTTAAAGGCAGTACACACTCTGTCAAATAAACTCTTTGGTGCCAACAGTACATCACTAAGAAATTGATTAAGAGAGGCTTTAAACAATTAAAGATCAAATAAGATTATATTAGCGTGTACTAACCACCGAGAAACTGCTGAAGGGTATCCCTCTGCCTTGATAACAGTTTGTTATTCTCTATATCAGCAATGAATGACTATCATGAAAAATGTGTATATCCTTGTTGACGTGGCATTTGCTATTTTGACCCCGGTATCAGCACTCATCCCCACACCTGAAATGTAGTGGTGTATCTAGCTGGATAGTTGGCAAAGGCTAAGACTCATTTTGATACAGAAACAAAATGACAGGAAAGAGAAGAAAGGCAATCCCTCACACGGAAGTGACGCCTGCTCCAGGAGATTCTAGGCTGCTCATTGTCCTGTCTGTGGACCGTGATGGGACATGGAATGTAAGAAGCTGTTTGGACACAAAGCTTCTGCATCAGGCAAGACAGAAACTCAAGGCCATTGACCAACAAGAGCAAATGGTAGAGTCCTATCTAGAGTTGTCAGAGGAAGGAGTCAAAGTTATAAGACAGTAGACTGGAGAAGATTGGACTACAGCAACAGTAGGTCCCAAATGAACTGGTACATCTGGCGCAGGGCTCTTCAGGGGATGACTCAAATACTAGTGCTCTTTGTTATGGGTGACCCTCAGTGTGCCACAACACAATCTTATCGTGCAGTCGTTCTCAACCTTCCTGATGCCGCCACCCTTTCATACAGTTCCTCATGCTGTGGGGACCCCCATCAAATTATTTTTGTTGCTACTTCATAACTGTAATTTTGTTACTGTTCTGAATTAGGCGACCCCTGTGAAAGGGTCATTCAACCCCCAAAGGGTCACGACCCACAGGTTGAGAACCACTGCTATCGAGAGAGCGGGAAATCAGAAAGACAGTAAAACCTGACTGCAGCATTTCAAAGGTCTGAGTTTCATCTCTTCCTGTCTATGTCTGTGAAGCATACAAAAAATTATAATGACTGTGTCTAGACTCACTTGTAGCCACCATCTAGATTCACGTGGGTGGTGTTGGTAATCGGAAATAAAAGGTGAAACCAGAATCAGGGTTGAACATTTTCCTAGTTATAACAGGAGATGAGGACTCTGGGCTCCTTATGCCTCCTGCCAAGTTGTACTTGGAACTTTGATGTTGAACGGAGGGGGAGAAGAGCAGAGGACTCCTAACAACATACAACCAACGTTGCAAAAGTCTACCGAAGCTAAGCACGGAAAATTTATATTCGTGCACCAAAAGCAAATGCTAGGGTTCTGTACATTCATGAATTGTGGTTAGTTTGCAAAGCCAAGATTATCTTTCATAATAGGAAGATTCCTTTTTAATAAAGAGAAAAGTCTCCAGAAACATGTCTCATTATTTGCCACTTTATTTACCACTGTATTTGCCATTATTGTCCACTTTTTTCCAGGAGTTGGCCAAAGATGGGAAAGTGACAGGTTCTGATGTTCAGTGACCAAGGGCATCTCCCAATCCACCTGGCAGTGATGTGGCCAAGCAAGAACTCTGGGATGGAAGACTGGGAGCACACCCTGTGAGGGGATCAACATCTCTAGCAACTTTTACAGAAAAGAGTTAAATTACCTTGCCCTCATCTTTAAGTACACAAACGCCCACTTGTCCCACTAGACTCTATCACTTTTAGGTGCCCAAAGCCACAACTTTCAGCTGACCATGAGATGCATGCTGCCCCACAAGCCAACTGTGAGCAGTCCGTGCTGGATCGCCTCAAGGTGTTCACTGGAAGTCCCTCCTTTGATGCAGATGACGCTTCCTGCTGCCCTCAAGATGGTGGATCGAAACCCACTTGGAACTGGGCCTACGTGGAGTGCCGGGCTCACAGGGCTAGCTGGTGAGCACCAGGCAGCGACCAACATTCTGGAGAAAAAGAAAAAGGCCAAGATCCATTACAGGGAAAAGCAGCAGCTCGTGTAGCATAGGAATAGGCTAAGAAGAACAAGGAGAAGATGATCAACCAATACACCAAGATCCTCAAGCCATGAACTCCTAGCCTGGGCCCAATAAAGATTGTTCATTCCTCCTTAGGCCTGGCCTGGCCTTTCTCCATTGCTCCCTGGGGATGTAGGGGTGCGGAGGGTGGCATCCTAGGTCAATGCTCCACAGGCAAATGGTTCTTGGAAGGCTGGGAGCATGCTGGACGGACCTTAAGTTTTGAGTTCATGACTACTACTTCTATTTCAGAAAGATCTTTCTCAAAAGAGTTTACAACTACTAACATCTGCGCAGGAACATTTGTTTATAGCCTACGTGCTGTTCATGTGAGAACTTTCCGAACTGGAGTGTAAGAGCAACTGGTTTCAATAAGTTCTGCCAACGTGAGCTGAAAAACGGATTGCAGAGCACCTTGCTCTGCAAATGGGGCACATGCTGAGAACATTCCACATGGTAATATGCTATACTCTGCAGCTGTCAGAATATTAAAAATGTGTATACAGTATGACCTGGATGTTGTACAAAGGGTACTTATAAATGTGTAGGCTGGGAAGGCATGGGACCTGACTGCTTCTCTGTATTTTGTGATCAACAACAAATAAATTGCAAGCAAAAAAGAAAACAAGAGCATTTTCTATTGCTTTCCTCTCTCTTTCACACACACACACACACACACACACACACACGATGGAATTGAAATAGGTTTTCTGTTTGCTTCTTCCCAACTAAAATTGTCTGATTCTCTTGGGAGCATTAAAAACACACATGCCATTTTGCCCAATCCGCTTCTCTCCTGCGCCTGGTGCTTCAGGTGGCAAACACTTGAGAATTCTGCATTGAGAACGACAAACCTAAAGCAACATCATGGCCTAGAACAGCAGTGTCAATATCGAGCAAGGTTTTACAAAGGAATTGATTGTGGCTCAGGAAACAACCGAGTTATTTAGCTCTCACTGACGCCGAGGTATTGCCAATTACAATGAGAATTGGAAGCGGGGTCTTTAGAGAAATGAAAATCCATTAACTGCTGATAAATCCATGAAACTAAGATTGATGTGAATGTGAGTGGTGTGACAGTTTTATACAGGTCCTCTTAACTTGCCCTGAACATTTCAGCTGGAAGAGTAACAATGGCATAACCCAGCTTCCACATCTCTGAGATTTTGTTTACCGAACACTGACAAATTCATTTGCTCCTTTATATAACAGCTGACAAATAGCTCTTAAACTTGGAAGCGCATTGTAAAGAGAATTTAACTTGGAACGCAAATAGAGCATACTTAATTCTAGTAAAGTATGCCAGATTGCTGGCTATGGAGGCTGCATCTGAAATAGCAGGCAAGCAAAACGTGTCAGTAAGTCGTGGATTCTCTTCAGCTTCATCCTTCTGCAGGGCATACGTTCTTCTTTTCTTATTCCCACCCAAGCTGGTGAGGAGCGGAGGCAGCCCATATTTGTTAACGTTACTAGCAAAGTCTTGTCTAGAGCTAAAAGCCCTAAGCGATTGGGCTAGAACTGTCAGACTTGCTCACAGACCAGAGAGATCACGCCCTGTGACCAGACTGATTCTCTGTGATGCCTGACCCGGGAAACTCTCCAGCACACCCACTCAAATGCAACCCAGCTCCAGCATGCTAACATTGTGTAACATGTCTTCTCGGGAATATATTATGTCTGATTTGGGAAGAGAAAAGTGATCCTATGAACTATTTTTCAAAGGTAATCTCTGCTTTTGAAATGAGCCTCTTTCACAAAACAAGGTGGCCCTATTTAAAAAAAATAAATTTTAATAAAATACCTCAAGAGACACCACTAACATTTTGAGGAACTATAAATTAGGTCAAAGGGCTGTTTCATATTTACTCTCTAGTTAACTGCTATTTTAAAATTCTCGTCATGTGAATTTTTGCGATTTATCTTGACATTTATCTTCCCCAAGATTCTGAGGGTTAGCTAAAAACTTGAAAAAATAA